CTCACCCTACCCCTACACCAAACCCTAAGCCTCACCCTACCCCTACACCATACCTTAAACCTGAACCTACCCCTACACCAAACCTTAAACCTACCCCTACACCAAACCTTAAACTTAAACCTACCCCTACACCAAACCTTAACTTACCCCTACACCAAACCTTAAACCTTAACTTACCCCTACACCAAACCTTAACTTACCCCTACACCATACCTTAAACCTGAACCTACCCCTAGACCAAACCTTAACTTACCCCTACACCATACCTTAAACCTGAACCTACCCCAACACCAAACCTTAAACCTTAAACTTACCCCAACACCAAACCTTAAACCTACCCCTACACCAAACCTTAAACCTACCCCTACACCAAACCTTAAACCTGAACCTACCCCTACACCAAACCTTAACTTACCCCTACACCATACCTTAAACCTGAACCTACCCCTACACCAAACCTTAAACCTGAACCTACCCCTAGACCAAACCTTAACTTACCCCTACACCATACCTTAAACCTGAACCTATCCCTACACCAAACCTTAAACCTGAACCTACCCCTAGACCAAACCTTAACTTACCCCTACACCATACCTTAAACCTGAACCTACCCCAACACCAAACCTTAAACCTTAAACTTACCCCAACACCAAACCTTAAACCTACCCCTACACCAAACCTTAAACCTACCCCTACACCAAACCTTAAACCTGAACCTACCCCTACACCAAACCTTAACTTACCCCTACACCATACCTTAAACCTGAACCTACCCCTACACCAAACCTTAAACCTGAACCTACCCCTAGACCAAACCTTAACTTACCCCTACACCATACCTTAAACCTGACCCTACCCTACACCAAACCTTAAACCTACCCTTACACCAAACCTTAAACCTGACTCTACCCCTACACCAAACCTTAAACCTTAAACATACCCCTACACCAAACCTTAACCCTACCCCTACACCCAACATTAAACCTGACCCTAAAAGATGACCCGACCTCTCCCTGCTTGTGACGTCACTATAAACTCCCCACCCGATATATTTCACCTCACTACAGAACATGTATACATCACACTGTTGCATGAGTTAAGGTTAACTGTTTACAAAATTGTACATTAACCCTTGACCTTCCAGTTCTAGTTTATTTTAAAACCTTCCGTCTTCACCTGTTCGGATTTAAGGGCGCCTTGTTTCAGTTTTTATGCTAATTACACGAATTACCTAATTAAATGATTTAAAACACGTAATGTATTACAATACATGTCGGCGCCTAAGCCTCAATGCCAAGAATGCACTATCCAGCCATTAATGCTGGCTGATTGATGTATAATGATGGTTGCTTTATGTACACATAGAGAGGGGTGGGGTGTACACAGAATGAAGGGGTGTACAGGGGTGGGGGTGTCTTCGCCATGGGCAAACCCTAATTACCTTGGATAAAAAAAAACACTTTATATTAAGCAGACCCCGGGCTTAATTGGTGATTATGGCACTGGACTAATTAACCTGGCAGTGGATGTGGGAGGGGAATTGAGGTTGGGGTGTAAGCGTGTAGTGGGGTCTGGTCTTTAGATAGAATTTGACATTTTGAGAACCCTTGAGTATATCGAAAAGACGAGTGCGGGAGTTATACAGTATGGCACGTCTTCTAAAAATCTGGAGTCAAATTTGAGAATCCTTGAAACGCTTTCTTGTTGGCGAACTCATTATAGTCTACATGAGTTGTTAGACTGTTCTCTGTGTGAGAACCACTGACACATCGTTGTCTACATGAGTTGTTAGATGATATCTCTGTGTGAGAACCACTGACACATCGTTGTCTACATGAGTTGTTAGATGAATTCTCTGTGTGAGAACCACTGACACATCGTTGTCTACATGAGTTGTTAGATGAATTCTCTGTGTGAGAACCACTGACACATCGTTGTCTACATGAGTTGTTAGATGAATTCTCTGTGTGAGAACCACTGACACATCTAAACCTAATGAACAAACCTGAAGAGTCCATACTAGGAGGGTGAGTTCTACCGAGCAAAAAATTTGAAAGCAGCCTACTAAAGGCTGCAGGAACTTTTGAATAACATGGAGCATTTGTTGTTAGATTATTAGCTCGAGCTAAACATTTGAGAACCGTCATTTGATAAGCTCATCAACACAACTTCTGGGGATAACATTGTTGCCCGTGTACAATGACGTCACTGTCGTCTGCTCTAGCGAAAGTGAACAATTTGTTTTATCGTGTAGTGATGTCTACCCGACATGGAATGGTTTAATTAACGACCAATCACTAATCACGTCAATATTATTGTGTCAGTAGATTAGCGAAGTTGTAATAAATAAGTTTTTGTGTGGATGGTTTCCCTGTTGTTTGCTGTTCACGGATGTTAAAGGGCGATAACACAGGTGATATAAGAGTTATCTGCGCGTAGAAGTCTCGGTGTGAATGCCACGGTATGTTCTGAATGGTGGACGTTCTGTTGGTGGCTACAG